GCCCGGGCGATTGCGTCGAGCGGCTCGTCGGCGGCGACGACCCCAGGCGACGAGGAGGTTGCCGAGGCAGCGCCCGAGGGACCAAGCGCCGTGGGAAGAGTAGACGATCACGGCGCAGATGACCCAGAGGAAGATGCTGAGCCCGCGGGGGGCGTCCAAAGTTAAACGCCTCAAGCGAGGGGCCGTCTCCCGGCGGCCCTCGTCGACGAACTTGCCGAAGAACATCGATTTGCTAGTGGGCAAAGACGCCGAGGGCACGGCAGAGGCAGACGAAGGGCAAGGCACACAGGCTACCCGGACCATACTCCGATCCGACGAAGTTCTGTCCTGGCCGTCGACGTCAGCGCCGTTGAAGCCGGGGAGGATAGTGCCAACGGAACAGTTGATTTAGCCCGTCGAGGCCATGGGATGAAGCGCCGAGGGGGCCCCGAGAATCCCCCGCGCCGGCTTAGGCCGAACGGGTGGTCGAGGGACTATGGCGCACAGGGTATTGATGCAGGCGCCCTCAACTTGGACGACCCGCGCGCGCTGTCAGGCTCGTGCATCGCGACGCTCTCGTTCCGAATCGTCGACGCGGCTGCGTTCTGGATTGCCTCAGGCGGCTCGCTCGTCGCGGAGTTCCGCCCGCGCCAGATATTTCGAGCCAGCGTTGCCGGCGCGGCGGCCCCGACAGTCTCGCGGGCCTGGCTCTATGATGGGCGGTTCCACGGCGCGAGATTGATCCGATGCCGGGGTCAGGCTGCGTCGACTGGATAAGACCGCCTCAGTCCTTCCATCGAATCGGCGGCGACGACAACGACGCTGTCGCGCCGACGGAGTTCGGGGCGAAGCTGCTCCTGCCCGCGCCGCGGGGCGATGGCCATCTCGTTGACGACGGAGCACGCAGAAATAAGTTGGGAGTAATCAGTTGCATTCGTTGCCCGGCGCCCGTGTTTTCCATAGATTCAGCGGACTAGCCCGCTGCGGGCCCCCCCTGCGCGCGGAAGGGCGCGCGGGCATTGCCGCGCGAAGATTGCAGTGTGAGCGCGCGTCGTTTGGTTGCGTAATTGTGCCCTTCGCTTTGATTAGCGAGTTTGGTCGAATCCGCCTGCCAAGCGCTGCAGAACTCCCGCCGGCGCCTGGTCGGCGTGCGCGGCGACGTGGGATTCGTATTTCTTTATTGTTGGGCGGCTGGATCATCTCTGGCGGGCATTTCTCCAGCGGAATAGCCCGCTGCGGGCTACCGTGCACACGCGGGGGGATGTGAGAGCGGTCCCCCATAAGGATTGCAATAGGCAGGCGTTTCGACTTGATCCAGGAGCACGCTCAAACTCGCCCGCCCAGCAATGCCGGGCAAAATTTGCGCCGGCGCCCGGCGCCTGGTCGGCGCGCGTGGCGACGCAGAATTATTTGATTCCTTTTGTGGGTGGGTGCGCTGGACGTTGTTTGATGTCGCACGGAAGACCGATCCATGGCGGACATGGGGCCACGAAGCGTGTGGGGGTTGTGCCGGAAGGGAAATGGAAACGCATGCGAACGCAGCCACTGGGGCTTTCGGTGGTCGGTGGAGCTCCTTGTGGGGCCACGAAACGTGTGAAAGGTGTGCCGAAATGGATGTGGAACCGCATGCGAACGCAGCAACTGGGGCCTTCGGTGGAGGTCCCTGTGGGGCCACGAAACGTGTGGGGGGGTTGCCGACATGGGGCTGGAACCGCATGCGACCGCAGCCATTGGGGCCTTCGGTGGAGCTCCCTATGGGGCCACGAAGCGTGTGAGGGGTTTGCTGATAGGGAAGTGGAAGCGCATGCGAACGCAGCCGTTGGGGCCTTCGGTGAAGCTCCCTATGGGCCCACGAAACGTGCGAGGGGTGTGCCGAAATTGGGGGGGACCGCATGCGAGATAATGCGAACGCAGCCAGTAGGACCTTCGGTGGAGCTCCCCATGGGGCCAGGAAGCGTGTGAGGGGCGCACCGAAATGGGTCATGATGATGGGAGGAGGGAGGACGGGGAGGAGGAGGAAGGAGGAGTGAACGCGGGGCGTTGTCTCTTCAAAACGAGGACCCAACATCACAGGATGGTTGGGAATAAATAGTTCCCCTCTACCAGCGGGGCGCCAGCCCGTCAATGGGGCCGCCGAAAACATGACTCGTGCCATGTATTGGGGGGGAAGGGGGAGCGCTCTACAGACCCTCTGAGGTTAGACGTGGCCAAAGCGATCGGAGGGGCAATCGACCAGGAGCCCACGGGCCACGCCCCTGGCCCTTGCGCCGGAGGCCGCGCGGGTTGCTTTTCAAGGCCAGGCCACTGATAGAGGGTTCGAGAAGTCGGGGGACAAGTGGACCCGGCCCGATGCCCGTGGAGCAGCGCTCCGTCGCGGCCGGTCTCTGCGGGACCAGACGGCGCACCCGCGCAACCTCATGGCTATAGTTACCCTCGCGTGGCGCCCGACGTCTCCAGCAGACGTGGCGCTGGACGATCGGAACGCCCACCGACAGAAGAATGCGTTAAAGTTGGGAGCGCCGGGTCAAGTTTTAGGCGCGCGCTGGCAGTCCGGCCGCGGGCCCAGGCGCAGTCGTTCACCCGCGGGTCGGAGTCTGGCGGCCGCGCATCGGCGGGAGGCTGGCTCCTGTACGGCAAGACGACTCTCTCCTCGAGCCGTTGGACTGGGGCCATGCGCGCCCCGAGGACATCGAGGCAGATGAACCGTCGAATGGCTGGGAGAAGCGGCTCGCCACAGTCTGTCCTCCTGAGCTGCCCCCGACGCTCGCGGACCTGAAGACGGAGACGGGCCGCGAGAAAAAGTCCATGCTGCGGCGGCCGAGGACGGGGGCCCGGCGCCCGCCGATTGCGTCGGCAGCGCCGGGGACCCTGGCGCTCGCGGCGAACAGGGCGGGGAGCGCCCGTCGTCGGCCCAGCCCCGGGGCCGCCCGCCGACGGCGCGCGCGCCCATCGGCGGCAAAGAGCAAGGAGGCGCCAGAGATGGAGGGGGCGAGGCGTCGCGGAAGTCGGGGACTGCAGAATCGGTTGGCAGTTGTGCGTCGCTGAGATGCGGGGCCGACGCTCTGGGGGGCTCCATCCCAGGCCATCACTGTCGGCGGCAGCATCCCGCGGTGGGGAGGTGCCGGCGCGTGGACATCCGATTGAGGGATGCGGAGGCAGAGGGCCCGCGCTCTCCGTGGCGCCGGGGCTCGCAGAACCGCTGGCCGTCGAGGACCTCGGGGCGAGACGCGGGAAACTGGCGCAGTTGGCGCAGCAGCTGGGGCCGCGACGACCAGCAGAGCAGGGACAGGCGCCGGCGAAGAGAGAGAGAGGGAGAGAGAGAGAGAGAGAAAGAAACGGAGAGAGAGAGAGAGAGAGAGAACAAAACAAAAACATGAGAGAGAGAGAGAGAAAGAGAGAGAGAGAGAGATGGAGGAGAGAGGCTCGGGGGGAATTTCGGCGCTGTGCTCTGAGCGAACGCGTTGGAGCTGTCGAGGGTTCTGGCGTGGACCGCGGCGCGGCGGCGGGTTGCGATGGCCTGATGAGACGATCTTCGGGCGGCTCGCGCCAGCGCGCTTCTGTCCGCGTGGGTTTCGCCGGCTTGTTTCGGCTTGTCCCCCCAGAGCTGCGCGGGGAGTGCCCCCTTCCCTTCCGCGCGCGTATATCATTTTTTAGGGGACTGGCGCCGCGTGGGCCGAACTGCCTTGAGAAGGGGCGAAGGCTGACTTAACGCCCGTTGAACGTGCCGATGTCGGGCTGGCGCGTCCCGTCGCAGCGCTTGCGGCGTTGGCTAAAGGCTGACGCCCGCCCGCGTGTGGAATCCCCGTGCCGGGCTGGCCGCGCGGGGGGCTGGTTATTAACGCCCCTTTCGCTACTTTTTGCCTGTCCGCCTTGGCCTTGCAAAAAAGGGTACGTGGAAGCGCTTCTCGAAGATCATGACCAATAATATTCGGACCAAGAGCCTACTAGCAGGATTATGATCATGCCCGGGTCCATGATGAATCGGCAAAATGTTGTTACCTGTCCTTCCCCTTCGGCCCATCCGTGACCATTTTCGCAGGCCGTGCCCCGCTAGGAAAAGAGTGGTCATGGCCTTCCAAGGCCCGTGCATCCTTGTCGCGCGTCCTCACTTTTCCCCAAGCAGTGCTTGCACTGAAGGGGTTCCTAGCGGAGATGCAGGGATCTGGCGAGAGTGCCGGGCCGATTTCGGCAGGCGGCCGGGCTCCTGGGCTTCTGGCCCTGCAGGATTCCCAGGTTCCCGGCTGCTGGTTCCAGGCCGGTTTCGGTGGGCGGCGGGGCTGCGGGGTTCCCAGGGTGTTTTGGGTTCCTGGTCGATCTCCTCATCGATCGGTCTCACCATCGATCTGGTTACGTGCCTCTGTGCCGATCTCATGATCGACGATCGACGTCGCAATCCAGTATGGATCGCACGAACGATATCATGACCGATCCCATTATCGAACTCATTCGATCGACTTCGGTATTGGTCTCATGATCGACCCCACCATCGTCCTCATGATCGATACCGCTGTAGATCTAACGATCGATCTCACAGTCGATCACAATATCCATTTCTTCCTATCTTCAAGCCACCCACTGATTGGGTTCTGGTGTAATACGCGTTGACTTCACCCCCTCTTCGGTTCCTGACAACCCCGCCTTCCCCAGCGAGGGTTCCCTTCGGAACTCGTTCGGCCTCTGAGCCTGTGCGGCCGCCGAACGGGCTCGAGCCCACTCGGCGGCCGAACGGGGCTCAGTTTCGGCTACTCCGTCGGCGTCCGAGCCCGTCCGAGCTCCCATGTGATCCGACGCTGCGCAGTAGATGCAACATCGCGGAAAATCATGACCAGAGCCGAAGACCCCATCTGTCCACTGCTTGTTTCGAGCTGTGTCGATTCGTGGTGGTCCCAGGGCCCGATACCGTGCAAAAACGCCAGGTGCGACAAAAACTGCAACGCCCTGATCGCAGGGGACTTGGGCGGGCTCGAAAGGGAGCCCTTGGGGTGGTCGGGCCTTCCTGGGCCCCCCTGGCATCGGTTGAGCAGGGAGCAGGACCACCGCACCCCGGAGCACACCGAGCTCGAGCTTCGGGGCGCCGGAGAGCAGGCGTGGCGGGCAACCCCGGACGGCGCCCGCCTCATGAGCTTGGTGTGCCGCCAGCTGAAGTAGGGGCCCTCGCTGCTTCGGCGGCGCGCACACGGCCGGGCCTCCTAGGTGGGGTCCGAGCGGACGGGGTCGGATCGGACGGGGCCGCACGCCGGTCGTTGAAAGTATCTGGATCCCCAGATTCCAATCTATTTGAAGCGCATTCCTACTGCATGTTTTTGCCTACTTATTCCGACTGCCGTGTAGGGCTAGGACCAAGTCGTTCCAGAGCGCTCTCAAAGCGTTCGAAACACAAGATTTGAATAAACATAGGCTTTGGCGGTCCGCGCAGATCCCAGAAATCCGCGCGGACCGCCAAAAGTTTCTGTTTTTATGCCGTTCGTTGTTCCTCCAAGCGTTTTGGAGCGCTCTGGAGCGGCTGCGGCGCCCGACGCATCCTCCAGGGCCGCCAGATCTCGCAGGTCTCCGATGAATCCCAGTCCGATGACGCCTCAGTCTTGGCTTCGTCTTCCGGACGGGCTCGGAGAATCGGGCCGCACCGCGGATGCTGCGGCGATGATGCTCGATTTGAGGCCCGATTTTCTCTTTGCCGATCTATCGGCCATCGGCGATGCGCCGCGATCCTCAGGCCCCTCCTGCTCGTGCCACATTTGGAAGGCTCCTCCACGGGGGTGGGGCGAGGAGGGGGGCCTTCTAAGAATCGGAGGGCAAGAAGACGGCATAAGCATAGTTTGAAGGCCCGCGCAGATTTCGTGGGTCGGCATTGCGCCCTCCCTGGCGGCACCTTTGGCGCCGCCTCTGTCGCGCTTTGCGCGCCCCGAGTCCAGCGCCATGCCAGGGTGTCCAGAGCCGACCCAAGAAATCCGCGCGGGCCTTCAACATCTTATGCTTATGCCGTCTTTCGCCCCTCTAGACAAGGCAGGGGGGCATCTTAGGAGGGCTCGGAGGCTGCCGAGAGGGCTTCTTACTGGGCGCGAGGTCTTCTGAAGAAGCACCCTGCCTTCCTAGGAGCCCACCCTCCTCGCTCCATCCAGCTGCCGACAACTCGTTTCAGCCAGCCCCACTGCCGTCGGCACGCGGCGAGCGTCATGGGAGAACATCATACCGATACCGATCGTTCCCTTTCCCCACCCCAGGTTCCGCCTTTCTGGGCCTCCCGGGCGGGCCCTCGCAGCCACGGCTGGATTCGCCTCGGAATCTTGGTCAGAACGCACCCCAGGAGCGGCCCGGGGAGTTTCGGCATCGGTAGTTTGTTGTTCCCACCGGTCGATAACAGATTGGCAGCAAGCGGAGGCATCGTCACGGCATCTGTTGCCGTGGAGCATCCGTTATATCGGCCTCGGGGTGCGACCACGAGACATGCGTATTTGATGTGAAAACAATGCTTCTGTATTATCGCCCGCGCCCGCAGATGCTTCTTGATTTTTCCCTACCGAGGCTCTGCCTAGAAGGGTTCTTCCTCTCTTGCTTAAAGGGGCCGGGCAGTGTAAAACGCCCTGGGCGGTTCCCCCAGGATCCGCCCCGCGGTTCCCCCAGTCCCCTGGGAGCTTTAGCTTTAGCTTTAGCTTAGCTTTAGTTTAGCTTTAGCTTAGCTTTAGCTTGTCTTTAGCTTAGCTTCAGCTTAGCTTCAGCTTAGCTTCAGCTTAGCTTCAGCTTAGCTTTAGCTTAGCTTTAGCTTAGCTTTAGCTCTGCTTCAGCTTAGCTTTAGCTTAGCTTTAGCTTTGCTTCAGCTTAGCTTTAGCTTAGCTTTAGCTGAGCTTTAGCTTAGCTTCAGTTTAGCTTTAGCTTTGCTTCAGCTTATCCGTAAGGGCTTCGCCCCCTGCCGCCGGCCCCCTCTCTCGGAGAATGGGCCATGGAAGAGCTAAGTCATGAGGCCTTGGCGCTGTCGTGAAGCAGTATCGAAACTTCATGCGAAGCCGATTCGCAATCAGCAAAACCAACTGATCACAAGAGGGGTTACCACACCTGGCGATTGGTAAGACGTGTATGGTTTACGGGCTTGGTTACCACACCTTGCGATTAAAGGGCCGAGGGAGTTCTCGCAGTTTGGGTTACCACGCCTTGCGATGGATGTGCGTGAAGGGTGGCACCGAATTTTAGAAATGTGCCAAATCCCCTGTGTTTTTGGACCCTGACCCCGCGGATCTGCGTAAGGGGTGGCGCCGAATTTCAGAAATGTGACAAATCCTTTGTGTTTTTGGACCCTGACCCCGCGGATCTGCGTGAGGGGTGGCACCGAATTCCAGAAATGTGGCAAATCCATTGTGTTTTTGGACCCTGACCCCGCGGATCTGCGTGAGGGGTGGCACCGAATTTCAGAAATGTTGCAAATCCCATGTGTTTTTGGACCCTGACCCCGCGGATCTGCGTGAGGGGTGGTGCCGAATTTCAGAAATGTAGCAAATCCCATATGTTTTTCCCAACCATCCTGTGGTGTTGGGTCTTCGTTTTGAAGAGACAGCGCCCCGCGTCCACTCCTCCCGCTGCCCCTCCCCCTCCTCCTTGCGTTTCACCCACCCAGCACAGCGTTTCGTAGCCCCATAGGGAGCTCCACCGAAGGCCCCAGTGGGGGTGTTCGCATGCGGTTCCCCCACCCAGGGCAGCGTTTCGTGGCCCCATAGGGAGCTCCACCGAAGGCCCCAGTGGGGGTGTTCGCATGCGGTTCCCCCACCCAGGGCAGCGTTTCGTGGCCCCATAGGGAGCTCCACCGAAGGCCCCAGTGGGGGTGTTCGCATGCGGTTCCCCCACCCAGGGCAGCGTTTCGTAGCCCCATAGGGAGCTCCACCGAAGGCCCCAGTGGGGGTGTTCGCATGCGGTTCCCCCACCCAGGGCAGCGTTTCGTGGCCCCATAGGGAGCTCCACCGAAGGCCCCAGTGGGGGTGTTCGCATGCGGTTCCCCCACCCAGGGCAGCGTTTCGTGGCCCCATAGGGAGCTCCACCGAAGGCCCCAGTGGGGGTGTTCGCATGCGGTTCCCCCACCCAGGGCAGCGTTTCGTATAGGGCAGCGTAGGGGAGCTCCACCGAAGGCCCCAGTGGGGGTGTTCGCATGCGGTTCCCCCACCCAGGGCAGCGTTTCGTGGCCCCATAGGGAGCTCCACCGAAGGCCCCAGTGGGGGTGTTCGCATGCGGTTCCCCCACCCAGGGCAGCGTTTCGTGGCCCCATAGGGAGCTCCACCGAAGGCCCCAGTGGGGGTGTTCGCATGCGGTTCCCCCACCCAGGGCAGCGTTTCGTAGCCCCATAGGGAGCTCCACCGAAGGCCCCAGTGGGGGTGTTCGCATGCGGTTCCCCCACCCAGGGCAGCGTTTCGTGGCCCCATAGGGAGCTCCACCGAAGGCCCCAGTGGGGGTGTTCGCATGCGGTTCCCCCACCCAGGGCAGCGTTTCGTAGCCCCATAGGGAGCTCCACCGAAGGCCCCAGTGGGGGTGTTCGCATGCGGTTCCCCCACCCAGGGCAGCGTTTCGTGGCCCCATAGGGAGCTCCACCGAAGGCCCCAGTGGGGGTGTTCGCATGCGGTTCCCCCACCCAGGGCAGCGTTTCGTGGCCCCATAGGGAGCTCCACCGAAGGCCCCAGTGGGGGTGTTCGCATGCGGTTCCCCCACCCAGGGCAGCAGCGTTTCCCCCATAGGGAGCTCCACCGAAGGCCCCAGTGGGGGTGTTCGCATGCGGTTCCCCCACCCAGGGCAGCGTTTCGTGGCCCCATAGGGAGCTCCACCGAAGGCCCCAGTGGGGGTGTTCGCATGCGGTTCCCCCACCCAGGGCAGCGTTTCGTGGCCCCATAGGGAGCTCCACCGAAGGCCCCAGTGGGGGTGTTCGCATGCGGTTCCCCCACCCAGGGCAGCGTTTCGTAGCCCCATAGGGAGCTCCACCGAAGGCCCCAGTGGGGGTGTTCGCATGCGGTTCCCCCACCCAGGGCAGCGTTTCGTGGCCCCATAGGGAGCTCCACCGAAGGCCCCAGTGGGGGTGTTCGCATGCGGTTCCCCCACCCAGGGCAGCGTTTCGTGGCCCCATAGGGAGCTCCACCGGAGGCCCCAGTGGCTGCTCTCGCATGCGGTTCCCCCACCCAGGGCAGCGCTTCGTGGCCCCATGGGGAGCTCCACCGAAAGCCCCCGTGGCGCAGTTCGCATGCGCTTCCCCCACCCAGGGCAGCGTTTCGTGGCACCATAGGGAGCTCCACCGAAGGCCCCAGTGGCGCAGTTCGCATGCGGTTCCCCCACCCAGGGCAGCGTTTCGTAGCCCCATAGGGAGCTCCACCGAAGGCCCGCCCCGGTGGCGCAGTCCGCATGCGGTTCCCCCATCCAAGGCAGCGCTTCGTGGCCCCATATGGAGCCCCACCGAAAGCGGCACCCACAACGCGTTACCAACAATTGCTTATGGTTGGGTCTTTCGCCAGGATAGTTGGACCCTGACCCTGCGGATCTGCGTGAGGGGTGACGCCGAATTTCAGAAGTGTAGCAAATCCCATATGTTTTTGGACCCTGACCCCGCGGATCTGCGTGCGGCACCGAATTTCAGAAATGTGGCAAATCCCGGCCCTGACCCCGCGGATCTGCGTGAGGGGTGGCACCGAATTTCAGAAATGTGCAAATCCCATGTTTTTTGGACCCTGACCCCGCGGATCTGCGTGAGGGGTGGCACCGAATTTCAGAAATGTGGCAAATCCCATGTGTTTTTGGACCCTGACCCCGCGGATCTGCGTGAGGGGTGGCACCGAATTTCAGAAATGTGGCAAATCCCTGTGTTTTTGGACCCTGACCCCGCGGATCTGCGTGAGGGGTGGCACCGAATTTCAGAAATGTGGCAAATCCCATGTGTTTTTGGACCCTGACCCCGCGGATCTGCGTGAGGGGTGGCGATTTCGAGCCCCCCCAGCAATTCAGACAACGCGCCCAGGGGACGCTAAAAAGCCGGTTTGGGCCTCCCCCCCCCTCGCGCGGTCAATCAACTAGTTACAGTAACCAGCAATAAGTCAATTAGTTACAGTAACCAGCAAGAAGCAGAACTGCAACACTGGAAACTACAAGCTACAACTGGTACAG